GACGGGCAAGCTAGGGACTAAGCACGAGACCGCCCGCGTGCGCGAGCGCGTGAAGACCACCGTCGAAGAGACATCGGAGAAATTCAAAGAGCTTGGAGAGGGATTGAAGAAGACCACCACCTGGCCCGATGTTGGCGTATGGATACCTTGTTCTTGAGATGGAAGCCGTTAGCTAACAGGCCACAGCCCTCGCAGAAGTTCACGCAATCGAAGCTCCAGCGCGAATTCAAAGCAACGCTCACCGAGTTCCAACACCTCCAGAAGCAGGCACTAGAGAAAGAGAAGCAGTCGGCACAAGCGGCACGCACAGCCCTGCAAGACGTATCGTCGCCAAGCGAAGAGCGGGGAGGAGACTTTGGGCAACAACAAGAGCAGGAACAGCTGCGCTTGGCAAATCAGGATGAGGTCGACTTCCAGGAGTCGATGATCATCGAGCGCGAGTCTGAGATCCGCAACATCGAGCAGTCGGTTGGGGAACTCAACGAGCTATTCCGTGATGTTGCGCATATGGTGCACGAGCAGGGTGCGCAACTCGACATCATCGAGGAGAATGTCGAGGTCACGCACGACGCGTCGCGAGGTGCACATGTGAATCTCAAGCAGGCGAGCAACTACCAGAAGAGCGCAAGGAGTAAGGCGTGCATTCTGCTGCTCATCCTCGCCATTGTTTTGGTCATCATCATTCTTGCCGTCGTTTTGGATTAGATGATATATGAATCATCTCTGTAATGGTTGGTTCTGCTTGTTTCGGCGTTGCATTGTACATTTGGGGGGACCTTATACCATGGTGCATTTCATTGCAAATTTCTGTCGTTTTCGAATCGTGTTTTTGCCAAATGTGCAGTCTGGTTGTTTATCTTATGTCATAAGGTGGCACTTATGTTAGCCATGTCATATTTAATTGATGTTCAACATTTCCGCTCTCACTGTTGCGTGTCCTTCCTGTATCGGTTGCTCGCTCCTTCCTCCACGTGCGTGTCTGGCCAGGACTCACCTCAACGAGAAGCCGCGCTACGAAACTTTCTCTCACTCCACACAACCTCCGACAACTGAGTTCCAGCTGACGTCTCTATCTTGACGCCGGTCGTATGTTCGCGAACCTTCACAACGCTATCCGGGCTGCTGAAGAGAGGGCCTCAACCGGATATCGCCACCTGGGACTCGACGAGGGTAAGTACGACGCACCGCCTCTCTTGCTACTTTCCTGATTCCCATCACAGTCCAACCCTCATCGTTCGAAATGCAGCGCCTCATCCCTAAGGCCGGACCAGCTCTCCAGAAGACCGGGCCACTACATCACAGGTATGCAACCGCCATTAGTATGTGGATGAGATCTAATATACCTCCAGTGTCGCAGCACAACGAGGCGCTCCCGTCAACGTGGTCATCGAAGTCAGCCCAGAGAAGATCAAATACCATGTCCAGAGGCTCTTTTTGACACACTACTCGGATTACTTCACCAAAGCACTGAGTGGGTCATGGAGAGAGAGTGAAGACGGAGTGGTACGGCTTGTCGACATTGAGCCTGGCGTCTTCAATCTATTCCTGGAGTGGCTGTATACCCAGGCTCTTCCCGCCCCCGAAATTGTATACGCGAACGGCTTCCCCATCAACGACAATGACTGGCATATCAAGCTCTACGTATTTGCAGATAGGTTTGCGGTATCAGCATTGCGGACAACCATGAACAGGAGGATCGTTATGGGATCTCAGATTATCAGATCGGCCGCTTGGCGCATCCATCAAATCATCTACGCATTCGACAATCTACCATCAGCCGACCCTCTTCTGGACTATCTCGCGGATAGATATTACATGGATGGGCCATCTGCAGATGATACTGTCGAAGCATCGAGCATGGCAAACAAGTTGCCGAAGGAGTTTCTGGTACGTTTCTTCAAGAGGGTGAGTTTTGAACGCCAGAAAGGTGGCAATGAGGCTTCGGGCATCTTCAACATGGACTACTGTACCTATCATGACCATGCGAAAGATGGTGACAAGGGTTTCTGTCCTTCCAAATCATGGCTTGACCCCAAGAAGCTTGTATTGAGACGGCTACACTAGGAGAAGGATCTCAACATGATGAGATTGCTTAAAAAAACATGGAGGATCGAAGGTGATCATTATCTCGGTTGTCATCTGCCTGACTGGCACTACTCTATATACGGGTATCTACTCAACATTCGGCGTTTAGGTAGTAATAAGCGCTCTATGCGCTGTTGACAGGCTCGCCCTTCTCATCAATCAAACTCTCTTCAGTCTTGACTGGACCCTCACCAACACCCGTCAAGATGACTCTGCTAACACCCTCCTCCAAGAAAGTAATTGCGGGACCGGCGTCAAACTTGACCTTCTCGAGCGCATCGGCGTTGGCCTGAACAGCTTGACCCCTCTCGCCTTGCCATCCGTCCTTCTCGTTTAGGATCTGCTTGAACAGACCAGCAACCTCCTTTTCGTTCTCTTCAAGGTAGTATACAACAGCGTTTGGGCCCGCATCGAAGGTGTACGCAGCAATGATCTTGCCAGCCGCAGCGTTGATGCTCTCAACGACCTTGATAGCCGCACGGGAAACGTCGTTGAGGTAGAAGATCGGAGGGAAGGTATCAAGGCAGGTAGCGTGGAAAGAGTTGCTGTCCATCATAGTAAGCTTGCTAAAAGCCTCGAAGTCCTTGTCCTGGATAGCCTTTTGCATCTCCTTCATACGCTTTGGGACAGTCTCTGTGGCTCTTGACTGGAAGAGGCTGGATGTAGCAACAGTGATCTGCATACCGCTGGTACTCGACACACCCTTCTTGGCTGCGCTAACAACCAAGATAACAGCGCGCATGTTGGGCCAGTGGCTCGCAGGCGCAACTTGGAAAGCAACACTATCACTGCCATCCGAAGCGGAGCCTTGTTCCCAGCCTACATATCCGCCGAAAAGCGATCGGCACGCGGAGCCAGAGCCCTGCCTTGCGATACGGGAGAGGTCGGTTGGCGAGGAGGGGAGCTCGTAGAGGTTTGCAATTGCGCGGACAAGAGCAGCGAAACCAGCAGCCGAACTAGCCAATCCAGCAGCGGTGGGGAAGTTGTTCTCGGAAACGATGCGCAGAGGCAGGTCGGCGAGTTTAGCGAGGCTAGAGTCCTTCTCCTCGAGCTGCTTCCTCAGTGCCCTCAGCTCCCTGAAGCATGCTTGTGTCCTAGCACCAGAAACATCCTGCGATTGGCCGTTTAGGAGAAGCGTGTCTTCTTTCGGGTAGGTAGACGAGCACGACGCGGTGGTGTGGGTGCGGAGGTCGGACTGCGCGAGGGTGACGCTGAGGGAGGAGTTGGTGGGGAGGTTGAGCTTGGGGTCGCGCTTTCCCCAGTATTTGATTACCGCGATGTTGACCGGGGCGGTGGTGCTGGCACGGTGGATGTCGGACATTTTGACGTTTGCTATAGGAGAAGGAAGGGAGGGAAAGAAGCAAAACACTGAGGGTAGCGGTGAAAGTCAAGGGGGCTTGGTGGGGTTTAATGTTTATATGCAGGGTCTAGTTGGATGCGGTCTAGAAAGCGCGGATCTAGGACGGTGACTCGAGACAGCGGAATTACTTGCGCGATGGCAGGTTAGACAGGTTCAATCTTGGAAATTGGCCGTCTACTACAAATTATACTCCGGCTGTAGAAAGATACGCTCTTCGACGCTGTCCAAAGCGGTGGAGTGCGGTAGTCAAAGGCCAGCCAATCAGAACCACTTGATTCCCGCAAAGGCCCGTGCCCAACATTTCTCGATGGCTTCCGTCACCATCCCGAGTTTCTCGGAACCCGACAAACCCAACCTCACACATCTCCACCACAATGTCCTCGCAAGACGACCCAGCAGCCGCCTGCCCCGTCGACCACAAGACACGCGAAGCATGGCTCGCCCAAGCCCGCGCCCAAAACGGCACCACACCACCAAATCCCCATAGCACACCCATCCCAACACCCGCCGCCGCCGCCGCGCCAGCACCTTCCCAATCCGCCGTCCAGCAATCCTGCGACTCCTCCTCCCTCGACCAAAGCACCACCTCCCCACCCCCAAGCAGCACAAGCATCCTCTCGCAAATACGCCTCGGCACCGACCGCGAAGTAAGCACAATACCACGCGCCCTCCCCGACCAAATCGCAGCGACACCAGCACCAGACGCGCGCCCCGCCAACAGCGAGCGCGACACAGGCTCGGACAAGAAAACCGGAAACTGGATCTACCCGTCCGAGCAAATGTTCTTCGACGCCATGCGCCGCAAGTCGTACGACCCGTCCGCCCCAGACATGCGCACCATAGTGCCCATCCACAACGCCGTCAACGAACGCGCGTGGCACGAGATCAAGACGTGGGAAAGCGGGCGGGGCGCTGAGAAATGCGGCGGACCTAAACTGGCGAGTTTCTCTGGGTTAAGCACGAGTTTAACGCCGCGGGCGCGGTGGAAGAGTCTAATGGGGTACCAGCCGCCGTTTGATCGACACGATTGGGTGGTGGATCGGTGTGGGACGAAGGTTGAGTATGTTATTGACTTTTATGCGGGGAGGGATGAGGGGAAGGTGGGGAAGGCGTTGAATTTTTATCTGGATGTTAGGCCTAAGTTGAATAGTTGGGAGGGGGTTAAGATGAGGATAGCAAGGTTCTGGGGTTTTTAGGGACCAAACACAGGGGAGAGATGTGTGTTGTAGGATAGATTTGTATATATGTAAGATTAGTTGACTTGGATTGGGGTATAGACATGATGTCGATGAGTATGGATAGATGTATATTTGAACGCGAACGGGAATAGAGTAACTTCGCTCAAGAAGGGAATCCTGCGCCTGGATGCGCAGTCGATGCTACCATACGCCTCTATGCGCCATGCGTCCATCTGAGACTTAATTATATCCCCGGAACCACTCCCTCTAAGAACCTCTCCTCCCACCCTCCAACATCAAGATACGTACAGCTGAACGTACGACAAAGTCTATCCCTCATCGAAATCAGAACGCATTCATCCCAACCACCTCCTAACTTAATAAACATCCACACCCAACTTCCTCAACTTATTACAATTCTTCAACTCCATATTCCGCGCCTTGTTCATAGCCTCCTGGTCGACACTGAACCAGCCCTGTGCCTCTTCCATTGCCCTCCTCTGCCTCACCCTCTCATTCTGACACCTCGTATTCGTAATATGCACATACTGGTTCTCGGCTATATCATCCAACTTGCGCCACTTCTTCGGCGTGTATTCATGCACTTCCTTAGGATCGACGTAGTAATCTATCTTTATCCGTGTGGATACGCGCTTGAGTGTGTTGGGTGAGCGTGGTGTTTCGAAGACGATGTTGGGGCTTGCGGATGTGGAGGTTGAGCCGGAGAAGAGGGAGGAGAGGAGGGGGAGGACGAAGAGGAAGAGTAGGGGGAGCAGGTTGGCGAAGGCGGAGGAGAGGTTTTGTTGGCCTTCGCTGCCGGGGGGGACGGCGGTGCCGGGGCGTCTGCGGGGACGGCCACCGCCGAATTGGTGGACGCGGACGCCGGGGCCGCCGCCGAGGTTGAAGACGAAGCCTGGGCCTGTGTCCATGCCGCCTGTGGTCTGTTAGTTTGTCATCGTCCTCTTGTTGTTCCTGTTGTGCAGTGTAGACCACGACTTCGAGACCGAGGTTTCTGGGCAAAGGAAAACGTACCAAAAGGCCCCCCAAACGCGCCCCCAAAGAACTGTCTAAACAACTCTTCAGGCGTCATCTCCTCCTCAAACCCACCCCCTCTTCTCGCAAACCCATTCCCAAACGGACTCGCACCACCCCCTCCATTCGCACTCGCATGCGCCCTCGGATCAAACCGCGCATCTGGATCCCCGCCAAACTGATCGTACTTCTTCTTCTTGTCCGGATCACTCAGCACCTGGAACGCCTTGCTGACCAGCTTGAACGCCTCGTCCGCGCCATCATACCCATTCTTGTCCGGATGCGTGAGGAGAGAGAGCTTGCGGTACGCTTTTTTGATGTCCGAGTCTGAACAGGTGGCTTTTACTTCTTCCAGGCCGAGGATCTTGTAGTAGGCGGTTGGCGCGCATGATTTGATGCGTATTACGGCGGCTTTTTGCTCCACCGTGAAGGCTCGGCCGGCGCTGCCGTCGTGGTGGTCTCGCGATTTGGCGTCTGAGCCGGAGGTTTTGCCCGACATTGTGTGGTGTGCGAGAGTTGGTTTGTGGGGTATCGGTGTGTTGTGGTGGGAGATTGTGCTGCCGGGGCAGGCAGCGGTGGGGGTGGGAGGCCGATGCGCAGGTGTGGACGGCTGGTGATAATGCGGCGGTGATGGCGATAAGTATGCGTCGACGTGAATGTCGTCCCGTGACGGGGTTGTGGTTGTATTAGTCGTTAGAGCGTTATCTGTTGTCTGTCGAAGTTCGCGAGTCCCGGAGGCCAGTTTCCATGTGCTGGGTTGGCACGGGCGGGCGGTCCACTTGCCGGACCAACGTCATGGTCTTCACCCAATCTCAACCCATGTACCCTTCTGCGCGCATTTGTTCCTGAGCACCGGACATATTCACCCATCAGTCAATTCACTTACGCACTTCTATAGTATACACGAATTCCACGATGCCCGAACAACCTAAAGACTCCATGCTGCAATCGCTGAGGAACTGGGGAGGTACGTCTATCCTGTCACTTCCTGATTCACCTCGTCGCACGTGCCTCACATTGTCTTGTATACCTATCGAGGCAAGGTCACTAACTCAATCGCTTTTACACAGAAAACTCCGTACCGCCAACACTCCTCGCCACCCTAATCACAGCCCAACATGCTCGCCCGTTCCAGTTTTTTCCCATGACGTTTACACCCGTCTTGCTCTTCTCTTCCTACCTGAATTTGAGCAACTACAAGACCGATGCTGCCGGAATCACGGCTGCATGGAGTGGACTCTATGCATTACTCGCCATGCGGAGAAGTCAGGTATGTTTCAATTGGTTTTTCACGTGGAAGGATTTCTTCATTGGATTGGGTTGGGAGTGGCAACATCTAACCAAAAACAGGGCATCAAGAACAAGCTCAGCGCTCGCGGCATAGTAAGAGGAGGCTCACTCGCTCTCTGCGCGATCAACGTAGCAGGTTGCGGTCTAGCCTACACATTCGGCAAGCGAGAAAAGGAAGAGAAGAAAGCATAAAGCTCGACAAATGCCGTCATATGTAACATTATGTATCCCTAAGATTGTAATCTCTAAAACTAGTATCTTGATCTTGCAATGAGATCTATGAGGTGCAACCCATCTCAAAGACGCCGTCGCTATGCTGAATAACCGACATCATTCGCGAGACACCTTGTTAATCCCAGGCATCACCCCATCCTTCCTCTTCTTCTTCAGCTTTCGGCTCTTCTTTCTTGACCTCTTTCTTAGGCGGCACGATGACCTTTCTCGTCGTCCCTGTCGTGCTCGACCTGCTTCCTACTGCCGGTCTAGCGGCCTTTGCTGCTGGCGTAGCTGATTTAGTGAGACCCTTTGGAAGAGCGTTCTTCGTGGGCTTCTTCGCGTTCGATTGAGCTGCCAACCATCCCGCGAAATCAGGCTCGCCCTTATCATCGTATGACGTGGTAGATGCTGGCTTTGATACGGCTGGCGTACCCCATGGGTCCTCTTCGTCTTGCGGCTTTTCCTCTTCGTCAGCGAAGCCACCCCAATCGTTGTTGAAGTCTTCTTCCCCGTCATCAAAGGCTGCTGCTGGGTCCGGCGATTTGATGGTAGGAATTGATGCGGTACTCTTCGCGCTATGAAGAGTCATTCCTGGCTTTGTTGCTACAGGGACCGGCGGTTTGCTGGTTGCTGTGATAGCTGGTGGTACGGAGGACGACCTTTGATCCGCTGCTCCATTGGTTGTCGAGTTGGCCTGCATCTCTCCACTTGTAGTTGCTAGCTTGTTTGTGAAACTTGAGATAGCCCAGCCAGCCCAAGATGTATCGTTCGCAGGTGTTCCAATCCGTGGCGTAGGTCCCCCGCCAGCGGCAAGACCTGGTGATGGCAGTACGGTGTCCGGCATTGTGGCAGCGAACTTGCGGATCCGTGCGATGTAGATGTCAACGCTCTTTTGTGCTTGATCGCGAATGAGCTTTTCCTTGTCTACCAATGAAGGACACATGATGGGAAGGAGCTTGGTCGCACAATCATCTTCAGTGAAGAGATCGGCTGTTGCGGCCAGCGCAAGAAGAGCGGCGTTTCGAGCGTGCACGAACGGATCACGCAGCGAGCGAGAGAAAGCGGCTGCGAGAACTTTGGCTCGGCTCTGTCAATATGTTAGCGTCGGTTTTGTACGTCGAATAGATCAAGACATACGCTCGCTCCTAAGTTCCGCGCAATCTTTCCTAGACAGATTGTAGTGTTGGTCCGGATGCCAGGCTGTTCGTCATTTGCCGTCTTTGCTAGATGTCGAAGAAGCTCGCCATTCACCGTTCTGTCTGATAACTTGGGTACCACAGTGAGAATAGCTTTCACTGTCTGTTCTCTCACTACCGGTGCGATGTCCGAGAAGCCAGTCACCTGGTGATGTTAGTATATCGTTCAAAAAATTGAATTCGCGCTTACCATCTGCGGAAAGATCTTATCGTTCACAAGCTTCTGAGGTAAATGGTCGATCATAAGCGGCAGATTGTCTAACAAGCAGACCCGTATCCCTCGATCTGGGTTTGCGAAAAGCCGTACAACAACCGGTGTGATTTGAGTTTCGTACTCGTCGTCGGAAAGCTTCTGTCCTATTTGCATGACAGTACTGAATACCTTGGCACCTCCGCCTCCAAACTCGACAGACTTCAGTAGTTCAGGAAGTACCTTCATCTTAAAGAAATCCGCTGGGAAGTCGTCCGCGACCGCATCGAGCTTCCTATGATCGGTCAGCATACTGGTTGGAGATCGATTCTCGAATCACCTACCCGAGTAGCTCATTCCGCTCGTCCTCGGCTTTCAGTCCCAGATTCTCAATGTCGTCCGTCACTTGAATCAATGGTGTTTGGAAGAAGCCTCCGATCCGCTTTCCCTGATCCAAAAACTGGCCCACGCTCATACGCGACTTAGGGTTTGGGTTGAGGAGGCGTTTGTATGATTGGTGCATGCTTGGTGGAATGCTCTTCATTTGCCCTAGCTGGTCGCTACTGTTGTAGCCGCCGTTGAAAACCTCGAAGATAAGGATGCCATAGTTGTATGCATCTACAGCATGCGTCGGGTTCTGCTTGACGACCTCCCACCCTCCTTTCGAAACCTCGGGAGCCATGTACCGTCCCGCATCCGGTATGAGACCGCCATAGGTCGGTATTATGGAATCGTCCTCCTTCACAGAGCTCAGCGCATCGAAGCCGCCAAGTTTCCACTCGCCGCTTTCGCTGAAGAATATGGATGCCGGGCGGATGCAGCCGTGTATCGACGCAGCATCGGCATTGACGAACTTGAGCGTCTTCGCGATGTTGTGTAGCCCCCATTTCGTAGTCTCTTCTGTCAGACTCTTCCTCTTAACATGCCAGCTGAGTGGGCTTAGTCGTTCGGTCGCGATATAGATATATGTCTCCGTCTCAACGGTGTCCAAGACCTTTACTACTCCTGGATGACGCAGGGTCCGTAGTTTGCGGAGCGCATTGCGAGCGAGGGGCAGTCGCGACTTGTTGGCGGTTATGTCGAAGGAGAAGATACTACATTTCGAGCCGTCTTCCTAGCAGGCGTACGTTAGCAAGTGTTCGCGCATAGGCAGACCTCCGGGCCATACTCGCTTTGTGCCGTTGTGCAGTGTCCAGATGGAGTCGTTCAAATCGACCCGATCCCCAAATGTGTAACCAAAGGCAGGGCCTTGCGATATCGCAGATGCGACCGCTGACTTGAGAAAATTCATAGCAGCGGCTTGGGATAATGCGCTGCTGTAACCTTGGTGAATCTGTACAGCAAGCACATGCAAGTGCACGTAGAGGCCAGATGCGCCTGCCCCACCGGATCATCGGCACGTGATAGCGTGATCCACGCTCAACGCACAGCCCTGGAGCCCTTGATTCTTTCCGTCCTCAACACCGGACGACACAACAATCGGTGCACTCTCGCCTTTACTTGCCGCCTCGCATCGTTGTCTCACCCACACGCATGAGAAATCAGAAACTCCGCATGGCCGCTCGTAGGCTGTTCTCACATCGTCATTTCCCGTATGTCGCGCGAAAGCGGCACCTTGTCATAGACGCGTCTCTCTGGACTAAACCCACTCTATTCCAAGTCGGGTCAGCGGATTGAACCACACAGCAAGTAAGTGACCATGCACTGACAACTGACGCGGATCCTTTATTTCATGATGACCATTGGTAAAAGGTTAGATCGCTGAGAACACTGAGATGGTTTGCCTTTGCGCCTGCTGCGTGGCCTAGTATGTCGCGGCCTTCACTGTTTGCGCGTGCTTGCCCGTTGAAGAAACAAAGCGGAAGCCTCCAGTGCAGCGAGATGCTGCCATGTAAAAAACAAACTGAAGAGAACTGATCCACACCGTTCGTTGTCACTCGACTTTTCTAATGATAATCTAAAATTACACGCTGACATTCATGTACTATTGCAGGTACTAGCTTCTACCTCCGTCCCATATTCCAAATGGAACATCATGAGAGCCAACAACAGGCGCCTTCTGAACCTCGTCTCAAGCTACCACATCATGATCGGCCTGGCATTGTCGACAAGGAAGTCTCAGAGAAGCCTCCCACATTGAGCCAAAGTCACGCGCAGCCGCGCCGAAAGAGTGTGATATCACCGCCTCCATTGAAGCGTCAACGTACAACATCCGGCAAGCCCAACTCGACGATTCGAAAGGCAGGTCTTTCGACTGACCCTAGCGCAATCACGCACAGGTACGGAGGATGTTGAGGAATACTTAGCTATACTGACGAGTACTATAGCTTTAATGAACACGTTGTAGCCACCTCGACTGCGCAAAGCAACCGGAACGCGGGCATAATACCTGTCTCCATTTCGTTCCCAGCACCAACTGCTCCTCAACCACATGTAAACCGGAACGCCCGCGATATCTCAGGAAGGCGCCATGTATCTCAATCAAGAAAGCCCTCGAAGTCCGGTTCATTGCCTAAAGCTACCTGTCTCATCTGTGATAAATCCAGTGCCACGAGCTATAACCCGATAGTCGCATGCTCGGGTTGCTCTAGATCATACCATGATAGCTGTCGAAAGCCTCCGCTCTCCCCAGGCACTAATCCGTAAGGCGCTCACACCTTCATGATGAATAAAGGCTAAAGAAAACAGACTACAGTGGCGATGCTCCGCATGCTTGAGTGACATCGGAACACGTAAACCTTCTAGCGTGTCCTTAGCACCGGCCCCCGCTAGTCACTCTGTCGTGAGAGAATTGTTGAAACCGAGATTCGCCCACCGAGCTCCAAATGCCGTGCCACCAGATCGTGTCCCAGAGGCTGTTCCTGAAAAGCGTGTGGAGCCTGAGATCGTTCTAACCACTCCCAGTGATGCTACATCAGTCAATCTCAATAAGCCCAAGGATGTTTTGGGCTCCTCTCGGCCACTTGAACCAATGCTGCTCGAGCGCACAGAGGTTCCGAACACACCATCACAACCTTCGAGCCAGTTGGACAGTTCGATACCCGAGCATTTATCAGAAAACCTCCCTAACGCCCGTGTCTCCCAACAACACTCCTCTACGCAAGATGATGAGGATGCATCGGCCCTCGATGATCCGAGCCACACCCAAAACCAGGTCCCCTTCACGGCTCTTTGCTCGGGATGTCGAAAACAGACCGCATTATTCAAGGCCGGAGAGAAAGATGCTCAGTGGTACGTAGGTGCATGTTTTATTGCAGACAAGTCTGATCGATGTATAGTCCCGGCTGTCGCACAAAATCGCGTATTGCAGAAACGGGCCGACAAGAGATACCCGAGACTCCGGATGTCGACACCGCTCGTCGTCATGCATCACTCCTACCAACGAGCTCGTCAAATTCGATCATTCATTCATCAGCCGCAAGACTAGGTAGTCATGAAGTGGAAATAGTTTCCTCAACACATGTTCCGCCCATTCCAGAGGACAAGCCTGGTTCAACAACGGCCAAGACCAGCCCCTTGTCCTGGTTCGACCCAGATCGGGCAAAGATCCTGCCGGATATAGGGAAGGTTCGTGATAATGCGCTGCCTGGCTTATCCTCCGCAGATACCCCAGCTCCAGATGCCTTGATCACGTCACAAAAAGCCTCACTTGAGCAGAGTGCGCCGATAGAAGTAACGTCGATTGCTGAAACTCTTGGCCAGAAGACTATGTCAAGACCCAACGAGATAAGACCAAAAAGCTCATCGTCCAACAGCGCTTCAGTACCACAGGTCAATGAGCCGCGAGAGCGCTCTGTCCAACCCGCTGAGACGTCAGATCTCGACGACTTAGCAGGAACGTCCGGTCCGCATGTTTTTCACACCGGCTCAACACATAGTTCAGATCTGCTGGGAGAAGACGAAGCTTGGAATCCGGCATCCACTGTTTCTGAACCTATTGAAGTGGGTACGCACATCTCGTCTAAGCATCCTTCTACAAATGGTTTGCCGGATCGATCTGCCCCTGCAGCGGCCATGGAACAAGAGTCAGCGGTTTCAAAGTCGAATGAGACGGTTGAAGGAGATCCCAATATCTCTGAAAGCCCAATCGAAGCACACTCAGGTCCGTCTATATCAACGAAACGTCGCACAAACCGCGAGTTAGCTAGGATAGCCCTGGTGTGTGCAAACGGCACAGGTATGACCGCGTTGGAGATAATCGACTGGTTGGCTTTGAGGTTCTCCCACTTGAAAAAGGGTCAAGGCGGCTGGGAAAAGAGTGTTAAGTCCGTTCTCTCCTTTCAACCTGAGTTCTACGGCGTGAAGCCTTCAAGACGGCCATATGAACGGATTGTGTACAACTTCACCAGCACAGCCAATAGGGCGAAATACGAAGAAGAGTACCACGAGTACCTTCCTTTGGCTTCAGTACCGGGACCCCAGGACGGTCACGGGAAGGCCGGGAAGAGTGCACCACAGCGTTCTGTAGCGGACAATGTCATGCAGCCCGAGGAAATCCAGGATGAACAACCAATTCAGACCAAGAGAAGAACTGCCAGAGCTATCAAGAGTGCACCAAGCCGCCGGAATGCTATAACTGACGATTCTCTACCGACATTATTGGTGGAGGAGGTTACTACAGATGCTGAACCAGGATTCAACCCATTCGAGCGTGCTACTGTCTCACGTCCGACAAGGGCGCCTTTCGACGATCTGGAGGCCCAACGCGGAACGGACTTCCGTAGTGCATACTCGCCCAACACAGCGCCCTCCATTGAGACGATGACTTCGGAGGAGAAGGCTGCAAAGATTGCAGAGATCAGAGCTAGGCCATCACGGAAGCAGTTCTTCGGAGCGAACTGGCGTTTGGCACATGTGCGAAAATACGGGCGGGAGGATATCCACGATGAAAGCGATGGTGCATGGAAGTCCCACCACACAACGGAGAGATCGACGGCGGATCGCAACTCTGCTACGAACGATCGCGACGAGAATCAGTCTTTGCTACAGGTCTTCAATCTTCCGGCCAATACGCGCCCTTTCAGTGACGGCAACGAGCTGGTTTTTCGGAACGTCACATCGGTAAGTGACACCACACCCAGTCTTCCAGGGTAACAGAGCAGTGAACTGACAAGCTTAACAGGTCAATGGTCGGCTGCCCCGGTCGCGGCAGGCATATCGAGTGGGCAAAGTGTTTGGGGGCGAGCTCACTATTAACTGAACCATCGGTTCTCTGGCGCACGTATGGTCTTTTACCGCATTATACCCTATCGTTCTTGGACTGCAATATGATGATCTTTCCTTACCCATCGATTGGGCATGTGTGACGCATACATCTTCTGTGGTGACTAAACATTCTGTCTCCGGCTCTTCACAAGACTCTAGAAGCCGATCATGGTTTGATCAAGGACGAGCATGTGGAGCGCACTTCGAACAAACTTCCGTTGCTGACAGACCCTCGCTTGGCGCCCTATGTACCCGCCAGTCTCGCGCCTTCCATCTCCACTGCAAGCACCCCAAAACAACGACTCCCAGACTGTGGCGCCTCACATTGGACAGACGGGCTACCAACGATTGAAGGCCCGCTTATGTCTTGCCGCCCGCGGTGGTGCAGCCCATGGCGTGCGGATGTTTCTAGCTCTGAAACACGGCCCTTGCGGCTACGCGAGCGCGTTTCAAGGCGTCAACACCAATCATTACGCGACTGCCACACCTCGACCAAACCGCGCCTCATCGGCTGGATGCCAAAACCCCACGTTAACCCTGTACGATGCCTTGCAACAATTTCGCAGCCGAGTCTGCTCGCTGCGAAATGATTGACTGGGCCGCCCTCTCGCAGTGCCGTTCCCGCCGAGTCTAGCGGGGAGCGTTTCACATGGGCCGGTAGTACGGGCGCGACCACGGTCGCTGGAGTTGTTTGGGCCACTCGAAGGTGAGGCGACGAGCCTTTCCCAGCGCGATGGTCGATATTGGATTCTATTGTAAGGTTCGCGACTATGGGCAGGTCAGGCTAGCGGCGAATTATGTCCTGAGGCTCCCCTCCTCCTTCACCTTGGGTTCTTGCTTCTCCATTTTACTTCAGTCTTCACGTCTCTATTGTTCGTTATTGTTACTATTGTAGAAGGCGTGCTGCCTTGACGGCGTGGGACACTCCCTTTTACTCTTATCTTCGTAAACTTAACTTGTTCAATCTATACGCTCTCTCTCTTCTTTACCCCTACGCTCGACGCGACTGCTGGACAGACCGATTGTATCTCTCTACGAACTTGGACGATTCAGTATCCTACGACCCTCTCTACACGAAAAAAATGGCCCTTCTCTCAGCCGAACACCTGGCTGGTCCGGGCTACATCATTCTTAACGTTCTGCGCGGTCTGAACATCATTGCTCTTGCTTCCGTGGTCGCCAGCAGCGTGGTCATGCTGGTGAAAACCTTTATCATCTCCAAGGTACGTCAAATAACCCACTCTCTACGCTTGCAAAAGCTCACAGTCAACAGTTCTTCTTCTTCGATGCCACAAGCCATGTCATCACGGCAATCGCAGGACTCTTCTTCATCGTCTCAGAATGCTCTCTGTTCCGCAACTTCTACGCTCGCAACTGGCCTCTCCTGAGTCCCTCGCACGGCTTCGTCACTCTAGGCTGCGCGATGATGATAGTCGGGCTCAACATGCTCGGTAACATGAACAAGGAGGCCACAAGCCAAGAGTCGCTCACCCTACCTTTCTGGCGCCTACTCGTTGCCTCTGGCATCCTAGCCATTGTCATCGGCTTCTTCAACATCGTCGCGAGCTTCGTCTTCCGCGACAAGTCTCGCCGGATCACCGCCCGCATGGTCCGCTCTCGAGGAGCCATGACCCTCCACGAGGACGCCGAGACGCAATCCCAATACGACCCCAAGCACAAAGCCTTCACCATAACCACCCACCACACAGGCAGCACCTCTTCCCGCAGCAACTTCAACAACAGCCCACCACCCATGCGCACAGGCACCCCACCCGTCGACTGCGGCTCCCCTCAAGTCCCCTCCCCCACCAAGGAAGACCCAAACCGCCTCTCGCAATTCGACTTCAGTCCCCTCCGCGCCTTCCGCAACGCCCGCCAGTCCTTCCTCCCCTCCTACCACAGCCAGTCACCAGCTAAACCCAGCTTCTTCTCGCACCGCCCCTCCAGCTCCATCTACTCACGCACCACGTCGGGCGAGCCCGCACGGAAGAAGTTCTGGCAGCGCCAGCGCGAGGAGCAGGAGGAGGAGACTGCGCGCATGCCTGAGATTAGCTATCCGTTGAACGTCAACCCGCAGTTCGCTCATCTTGTTAAGCCGAATCTGGCCCATCATCCTAGCGTTCGGAGGCCCGAGGCGGATTACGAGAAGTTCTAGGTAAACTGGGTTTGGAGGGATGTCGGGGTCGGGGATGAGGTTGTGGGGAGGCAGTACGATTACTATGATACCATTTTCTTTTTCTTCTTTTCTTTAAGTTGTTACATCAGCATACTGCTACACACGGCATTGGCGTTTGGCACATTGAGACTACTATCATTGACGCTCCAGAAAGACGCCTATCTGTCGAGCGAGCTGTCCTTCATTGGAAGCGCTACTTTCTTTTCTGGGGTTCCTACTAGCATATACTCCTCTCTTAGCAATATACAGTATTGCTATTCAATGACTTGGTTCTCATTACATCTCAGTGATATGTGATGCGTGCGTATATTTACATATGATACACAGCGTGAGTGTTCGCTGATCTTTCCTGGCTTGGCGCTTCGCGAAAGTGCTTTCCAACAGCCAGAACATGTCGAGCTGTTGGTCTTCGCATTGTCCAGTCCCTAGCTATCCACACCCCTCGTAGATCAGAGCTGCTGTTCTTCCCATAACACCCACGGCATCCTCGCCATCCACCTCTTGTTCTACTCCTCCACAGCAATCGCCTGGAACGGATCAATAGCATTCCCCTGTGGATCATAAAGCTCCATCCTCGTCCCATCCTCCAACGTCAAACTATACTCCTTCGTATAATACAGCCCACCCCTTCCCCTCCTCCTGCACGTCAACCTGACCTCGCCCGCCCTCTTCGTCCCCTTGACCCAAAAGCTGATCTCGATGCGCCCATGCAACTGGTTGATCTCGCCCTTGATCCAAGGATATTTACTCGCAAAGTAGATTTCGTCGCCGAGCTGCTCGCGCACGAGCGGGTTTGTGCGCAGCGCGTAGAGGGTTGCGGTTACGACGGAGGATTCTTGCTTTTGGTAGTTGAAGAAGGCGAAGAGGCAGGCGGTCATGGCGAGGATGAATATGGGCATGGTTTTGAGGATTTGCGGGGATATTAGGGGTGGGACTCTGGAGGGGGGTTGTTAGTGGATTGTTGCGAAGACGAAGTGTAGATGGAGGGTCAATGGGTTTGGGATGGGTGCTGGGTAAGGGTGGACGTACGGTGGTAATGCGCGGTTTGGCCGGCGCTCAAGCAGTATCTCGCCATCTTTGGGTGGGGGTATGAGGTTTTCGGGTGACCAGACACTTGTGGGTGTTTTCCAGGGTACGACGGGCTTTATGTCGCTTTGCGGTGGTGTGGTTGATGCGCGGCGGAAGGGTGCGATGCGGCGGAGACATTGGTAATTCGCTTGCGGTCGCGCACGAAGTAGCGCTGGGGAAAGCCGTGGAGGAGGCATTGTGTTGTGGTGGAACCCCAATTCGGTGGATTTGGAGATGCGTGGATGAGATCAGTGGATTCGGTGGTGATGATGTTTGCATGGTTTGCATGATCGCGCTAGTGGGGCATGGCCTGGCTGGACTTGCTCGTCGTCGACTTCATCATTACTTTCATCAACACGAACATAAATCATACACCTTACGCGCAGCATATTTATGAGATAACATCTCTGATGTAATACTACTCGAGAAGACCGCGAAAACACCTGAGCGCCAGCAACGGACCGTCCCTTGCACAATTGGATTGGCTCCAGAGTACTACACAATACGCGTCTTTCTGGGATGGATCTAGCTCATTTTACCATTATATGGTACGATACACGGCGTATTGCTTCATTGGCTGCCTCTCGTCATTCTACTCGGACATGGCCGTGAAGCACAGGCCATTAAGTTGATACGGAGTACAAGCCCACCTCATACAAGAAAAAACTGAACAGGTCTAAAGCCTACATTGACGCTAGGTCACTTGTCTAGTAGGTTTACATGTTAATGTAGGCTGCAGGCCTGTTCGGTCTTTTTCTTGATTGACGTGAGCCTCTATGTCTTATCTTTTCCTTGTGCAGTCGCGATATCAAAGCTCTCCTCGAATCTCTTACCTAGTATCTCCTCAAGTCATCATGTTACTCTATTTATGACATATCTATACAACCCATCCTTGAGCTGTACGCAATAAGGCAAAGTCCCTACAAATATTTGCAGCGTTGAGGTATGCTCGTACCAGTGTCAAACATATCGCATGCCTTCAGCGCACTTGATACCTAGTGGTAGATTTGGAAGAACAGGGTTCGCCGAAGTTTCTAGTCAACTGTGCTCGGTGGTGTGGGCTTTGCTGCCCTTTGCTCTAGCCAGTCACATGAGAGCGTGTTGTTAGCGGCAACGCCAAGCGTTGCTCTATCTATCTATTGTGTTTACACACGTTCCGATTTTCAAGCTGCGACTCTCTCGGATACAATCGTCGCATCAGCAAATCGCCCACGATGCCAGGACTCACCGCCCACAAAGGACCGGCAGTATCCCTAGTCCAAGATCAGGACATCGTGCTGACGACCGAAGCTGGCTTGGTAAGCGACCTTCACCTGTGCCCTGCAGTCTACAATAGTCATGAAGACGAAGCTCGCCGAGAGATCCAGGCAATGTAGACTTCTAGCTGACATTTAGTGCAGTCTGATCTGTGCATTACCATCATCGGCTCGGTCGATGACGATGGCATCAAACACGTCACAGACCTGCTCGTCAGTCTAGATACCTGCACGAAGTCACCTTACCTGAAGGCTCTCCTCGAAGCTAGCAAGGACAAGACAGAGCTTACCTTTGGTGGTGACGCCAAATCCGACTACGACGGTGAGAACAAGGAGGGTACTCTCGTCTGGCTCGCCCATCTCCACGAGCTCCCCGAACAGCGACTGGA